AGGACAGGAAGGCCTGGCGCAATATGGTTCATGGGGTCACGAAGAGTCGGACACGACTTAACGACTGAACAACAACATGCTTCCACACTGATCAGGCATTTACAGTTGTTAAATAGATTTTAAAATCATAGCTTCTGAAAACATTATTTGTATTTCAGTAATTAAATCCCTTTTTGGATCTTTGAAACAATAATGACTAGTAAATATTTACAACAAAATTAAAAAAGGAAGTCACTGAAAACCACACAGATCACTTCTGGCCATACCTTGCCCTTTTCCTCCCTCAGTATTTAGAGTCTCACCACGAAAAGATAAATATAGCAAAACTCAATGGCACTATATCTTAGAAGACCTAACTGCTAATTATTTTAACAGGTTGGTTTTAGACTTGATATGAACTGAGTTGACAGTATGCACCTGCTCCTCCCCCTCTGCAGCTCTCTCTGCCCAAAAACTATTTTAGAAGGGAGCCCTCTTGACCCACGTGAGAGATGGTATTGGGGGCTATAGATATAATGGGGAAATTAGCACAAACTGCCTCCCTTCTCCTCTAATGGAAATCTGTGCAATATAAATCTCTCACATGAATGAAACAAGAATTTCTATTTGCATAAAAACAAATTTGGCTCCAATCCAATGTTTGAACAATCTGCAATTCAACATTTGGCATGCAAAAATGACACACCAAAACTTACAAATAAATTCATGTCTTCTATCTTTATGCAAATTTACAATCATCAGGATTTCACACCGAGAAAATTCTAAGGCTTAACATGAATAAACCCAGAAAATCAAAACAGAACCAGACTTGGAGTACATTAACCAAGACGCCCTCAATTAATGTAGACTCCAAAAGCATTTCATCCAAATTGTAAGCCAGTAGTTACTGGTTCAATTAAACATTCTAACACCCAGAGAAGCTCCACACTTTATATGGCAACTAAGTTTGCTGTAAGCACAATATTGTTACTGTTACAAAGGATGTATCTGAAGAAATGCACAAATAACATATGACAAGCCTTTGTAGGACTGAACCAAAATACTTTGGTGGCAGCTGTAGAAACCAATTCAAAATCCAATTTACTTAATGTGTCTTCTAATCATTGCCTTGTGGACAACTGAAACAAAAGTACTTCAACACTGACAGTGCATACAGACCTACAGATCTCAGCAGTCAGGCAATAAAGAAAGGTTATTATTCTCAGATTTACTTCTATTAATAATCATTCATATATTTGTAATTTTATAACCTCACTGTTACTTAATACATCTTATATTTACCTTTCTTTCAAAGGATGCAGCTGGTGAGGTGCAGAAGGGCTTGCCTTGACAGGCATGAATTACCAGGAAAACATTACAACAGTACACAGGAGCACACCGACTTCATAGGCCCTCTGGGCATTATCCAATGAAAGAATCCACATGTTTAGTTTCTTTTACTTATTTGCTGGCTGATTGAGGGCAGGCTCTTAATATCACCTCTCTAAACTGAATCCCAGAAAAACTGACAATTTCTTCAATATTCTGAAGCTGCTGAGTTTCCCTAATGTGGTATTCTTCAGATATGTCGCAACTATTCGCACTATTTACAACAACTGCATAGATTTACTGTATTTTTTTTTATCAGCCTCCTAATTATTTTTTCAGAACAGAAAGGAATGTATCTGAATTACCAAACATTCTGCATTCTGTTTGGCTTATTTATTAATAAAATGTCTGCAAAAAGGTATCTTCAGGTCAGTTTCTCTAGTTACCTATTATTTAGAGCGCTATAATGGCATACAGTCTTACAAAAGCAGGCACACTAATAATCAAATATATTCTCTAAGGGGCTAGAACTGTATATCTGATAATACACTTGCAAAAAGTAAGCTGAGGAGGAGCATTTTTGTAATCACCAAAAAAGTTTTATAATGGAAGAACAGTTATTTATTCAAACAGGCTAAAACTAAAATGTACTTCATTAATACTTCTAAACCTATGCTGCATATATTATCATTTTCCTGATCAAAACTACATAATGCACAGAGATCTGAAAAGATCAATGTATAATGAAGTACAATATACAAGTCAACTAAAGAAAATTCATAGATCAGATAATCTACTATCATAAACTTTAATTTGCCAAGTGTAATAATCCCAATAAATCATTTTACACTGAACTAAATTAATGGACTTTTATGACATCAGAATTAGCCAAAAACAGCATCAAGTCATCCAATCTTCAAAAGAGTGGCGAATGATTTTTAGGTTTTTGAGTTGAAAAAATTCCAACAGTTCAAAATACAAATGTGAAGTTTTACAGCTGTAACTTTCATACAGTTACACATTTTCTCCCCTTCAGCATTTAAACTCAAGGCTGGGAATTAAACATTGCTTTTGAAACGATCCTTTTCTGTGAAAGAATTGCAGGTACTCTATTCTGAGTTCATGACTAAGCCATATAAGGAAGTTAAATTTCACTGCCATCTATTTTATTGAATATTGTTGGATGACAAAGTAATCTTTGCTTAGATCATGTGATGGTATAGAAAAGGGCTTATATATTTTTCACTAACAGTTAACTGGAGTGAGCAAAAATTTACCTTTCCATCCATATAGATTAGAAAAATTAAAACATCTCCTTACATGATAAAGAATACTTCAGTTGCAGTTATCAGGCTTATATAGACTTTACAAATTTGTTCAATTCACTTATATAAAATGAAATGTGTTTCTTAATGCTGTACAATTCTTACCTAATCAACATTACATAATTTAATAGGTGGGATATTTTATTTTCCTTAAAACAAGGCATCTTAAATCAGATTTTTTCTGCAAGAAATTTTTTAAAAATCGTTTTAAACTATTTCACATATGTTCCCTGATTACCTAATTACCCTCAAATTAAAATATGTAGTCCAAAGAGTAATAAACACTATACATGCAAATTCCATTCTTTTAGCTTGGTATTACAGATCTGGTGCACAAACTACAATTTTGATAGACTTTGAAAAGTTTTGGACTAGTTTACACGAATAAGAAGTTGTTTAATAGGAATTGGAAATAGTTACTGAACATCTTCAAACTGCAGAATTTGAAAGAGGAACTACTACTCTCACAAGAAGTTCATCAGGCCTTTCCAGCTATGATTTTACTCCATAGCTACCTAATAGAGGAGGAAATCGTTCTCCCTGCTCAACACCTCTAACTTTTCTAACCAACCTACAAGAGAAAAAGAATAATACTAACAGATGAGGGGGATAAAGTTACCACTTCAGAAATACTTTCTACCAGGAATCACGTTTAAAGATCACGAATCATTTCAATACTTCTACTGTGGAACAAAGAAATTCCTGTTTGAGCAGCTTCAGTCGCCCCCCCCCTCCGCAACCAAATCGGCTTTCACTTCACTTCGGCCACGAAAAAGTAGCGATGAGACAGATACATGCAGTGCAGCATTTCATAGGATAAGGGAAGACTATTCCCAATCCAGTGAACTACAGCAAAGAAAAATCAAATATGCGAGCAAGTAGATCAGGATGTCGGAAAAAAGTCCTGTCCCTCCCGCCTCCCGCGCGAAGATTTTTTCCCAGGAACGTTCGACAACCCAATTCCACGCACAAATTCGTAGTTATGATGATAATTCTCCCACCTTACACTTCGGCTGTCCAGATTCCCTCCATCTGCACCGGGCGCTTTCACCACGCTGCGAGGTTTTAAATCCAAATCAAGTTTTCTCGACAGTCAAGAAAAAGAAGCCGAGGAGGAAAAGGCCAACCGTTGTCGGCGGGGACAGAGGGGCACGGCGAGAGGACGCCACAGGAGCGGGGCTGGGGGGTCTTTTCCCCCTTTCCCTCCCCGCCGCTTCACTTTTCCGAGGCGGAGAAGGTCTCGGTAAGTCTCAGTGCCTCCCCCCCCCTCCTTCCGCTGTGACAAATATGCGGTTTCAGGTGCTTCAAACACCGCCCAGTCCCGGCTTCAGAGTCCCTTCCTGCCCCTCTCGAGGGGGCGGCGGCGGCAAAGAGCAGCGACGGGGCCGCAGTGCCTGCGCAGCAGCCTGGCTTGGCTTTTCCGAAGCGGGA